CAGAACGCTTAAAAGAAAAGGGAGTATCTGACGTGTTGGCTGCAGAGGTCAATGGTTCAACATTTCTTTTTGCCCCCAATCATTCAAACGGATGGAAACGATAGAACAAGCCGCTTGTCCCAGAGATAAAGCAACATTCCCAGGAGTCAGATCCAGAGCCACATCTATCCCCGGCGTGTTTTAAAGGATCCACAGCAGAAGCTCAGTTTAGAACATGGCAGCACAGACGGAGGATTTGCACGTACTCTTTGAAGCGGTTCTTCCTGGTCAGCGTGTTGAAAGAGAAGAGAGGACGTACACACGATCAACGCCGTCATTTCACACACATTAAACAAGTAGCTACCGGGAGGCTGAATATCACTGGGACGAACACGACTAAAGGTTTGGACCACAAGTACACAGAACACAAAGGAAGGGCAACGGGCTCATGAAGAACTACCGGCGAACATGGGACGGGCTGACTCACGGTACCTCATTGAGCTTCGCAAAATCTTGGTGAGGAAGCTCCTCGCCACATGAACCTCTGTTTCCGACGGCATTGTGCGTGGTGACACGACATCAACCATGTGGGCCCTGGGGGGGCCCTGGGGGGCCTTGGGGGGCAGCGAGTGAAGGAAGGAGAAAGAGGACAAGGAGTAGAAGGTAAAGTCTGCGTCAAAAGACATACAACAATGAGCAGGAGTAGGAAAGCAGGGACCCTGAGGGCCTCCCCTTTGGCGGTTGTGTGGAACCTCTTATTTTGAAAGGGCCTTCACGGCGAACCAGACGGAAGCTTTAATGTGACGCTTTTATTTTGTTAAAGCTACAAAATAAAAGCTCCTAAACTATCCTGCGACCCCGCCTGTTTCCCAAGTTCAGGCGACCAGGGGATGTGATCTGTGAGACATAAAGGTTGCTTTGATTGAAGCGTTAACCACGGTGAGACGCTTCAGATCTTTCATATAAAAAATGTTGTATCTTAGCACAGGAAGTACTCAACCGGTTAGCTGATCAGCAGAAAATAAATCCACAAACATTCGGATAAACTTACAGATTAAGTGATTTGTGAAGCAGAACTGTGACACATTCTCCTCTCTGTGTTTTATATCATTATAAACTGAATAGCGTTCATCAATGACTGAATGATCCATCGATGAAATAAAGACGTTATTGGGTGGCTGAGTTCTTTTCTACTCTCTTCTCTTTTTAAGTCCTGTATTAAAATATTAAAATCTCACTCATTTACACAACAGTATAAAGCCTGAAACGAGCCGCGACATTCCGACTCACGCAGACGAGTTCTACATCCGTCCCGCTTTCAAAGAGGGACGACGAGATCCGGACTGACACCAGTCTGACAGAGGAGTCCCCCCCCCCGGATGAACACAAACACACTGCACCTTGTGCTGCGGAGGAGGAGGTGGAGGAGGAGGAGGTGGAGGAGATCTCCTCGGGGATTAGAAGGGGGGATTTGAGGCGAGGGGGAGGAGTCACTGTGCTGTCTGTTATCTAGAGTTTGGGGCCTGCTGGGAAAAGTCAAATAAAAGAAAAACACCTCAAACCGTTTGCAGAGGGTTAAAAGTCCCCATTAGAAGTTACAACGTGCACGTCGACGAGGTCTTTCACCTGCTTAGAAGAACTAGAAACTACAAGCACAGCTCCACCCTACTGCCTGCAGCAGGTATGAAGACAGACGGTGCGGATTCCTTTCGCCTCGAGCGGCTCTACAATCTCCTGTTATTGATTGTGTGTGAGCTCCACTCAGCTTCCTGATCCTCCTGCACATTCCGTCACAACTTGGTCAAAGAATGGAATGTCTGGCCTGGGTCCGCTCTGTGCACGGGGGGGGGGGGGGGGGGGAAAAACCAGGAAAAAAACCCCCCGGGATCACGTGAGAACACTAACCTTAGTTTCTTTTCTTCTTACTTCCTCCCTCTGGCCTCTACACTCAAGCAGAGAGGTAAACGTATGCAAAATGCTCCCCCTCCGGGGTCGGACTGTGACGCTGTATTTACTATATGTGTTTATCAACTGATGACATTTTATGTTGTAGCCGAAGAATTGGATCAAGTGGGGCAGAAACTTGAGGCCAGAGTCTACAAGACATTACAGATGCAGGTAGCTACACACACATTTTCAACTGGGCAGAGTTCCAGTGAACGAGTTGTCATGTCAGTACTTTTCTTTCAGATTTGGACCATGCTGCCGGGCTTTTGTACGTGTCCCTTGGACCTGCTGGCATCCTTCAAAGGCATTGCCCGCACACTCGGTATGGTTATTAACGAACGGCCGGACCTGAGGCTCACAGTGTGCCAGGCCCTGCGTACGATCGTCACCAAGAGCAGCTCCACTGGTATGAAGATGCACGCTTCACACAGAGAGAAACACCACATGTAAAAACTGCTGCTGTTACTATATTACAATTAAACGAGTGCAAACCCTTTTTGTGTCTTCTTTATGTCTGTAGAGGAAGAAAAAGCTGAAGTGGGCCGCTTCTCCAAGAACTTCTTGCCCATCCTCTTCAATGTGTACGGTCAGCAGCCTGCAGCTGGAGAGGCCGGCACCTACAGGATGGCTGTGCTAGACACCATCAAGGTCTACCTAACCGTCTCCGACACACAGGTCAGTTAAGTTTTCTCTCATACTGCTGTGAAATGTTTGTTTACACAATTTAAAATTCTAAGTCAAAACTGCGATGCC